ATGGAGATTCGTTCCCACTCAAAGCAACCCAGCCGATATTGTCTCTCGTGGTTGCACTGTCACCGAACTGGACGCATCAATATGGTTCACCGGTCCTCCGTTTTTGTATTAAGCCATCGATTTGGATATCGTTAACAGCGAGAAACGGAAACACATATTTTCAACCACAACTACCAACAACTATCTGCTGGCGTCATACACGTCGTTCGGAAATCATCTTAGATCAGGGTCCAACCCTAAGTCCGGAAGAATTAAAGCGCGCAGCAAACTGCATAACCTGGAATCTTCAAAACCACTCAATTCCGGAAGAACTTCGATAACTTAGGAAAAACCAAGTACTGAAGGGCCCTCTAAAGTTTCTTTCTCTTTTCGTAGACACCGCTACTGGATTCGAACTCATAAAGTTTGGAGGACGACTCGACTATTCCGATCTTCCTGAGAGTGAGACGCACCCACTACTACTTCCCAACAAATCATCAATGGAATCATCATCATCACACTCAAAACTTCCATGCCGGACCAAAGGCGTGGGTGGCTCTACTTCGTATGAAATTCTGGATCATCAATGCAAGGGACTTAGCGCCCAGTATTGTTCGAGCCTGTACCCACTGCATTCGATATCGACCCGTACTACTGCAGCAAGTAATGGGTCAATTACCCAAGGCAAGATTGGCAATCGGTAAGCCCTTCAGCAAATGCGGTGTTGATTTCTGCGGACCTATACACACATGTCTTCGAATACGCGGAAAGCCTCCATTAAAGAGCTATCTCGCCGTGTTCATATGTCTCGTCGTCAAGGCCGTGCATATCAGCTGCACGACCTAAGGAAGTTCCTGCTTATGGGTCCCACTGTGCAAACGGATCTTTATCTGACTGTTTCATTATGCCACGACTGCTGACGTGACAAAAATGTACAAGTCCTCTTCGATCAAAGCTTTCGAAAATATCAATACATATTTTGGCGAGATTCGTCAGATGCAGAACTGTTCACCGTTGCTTCAAAACAACCAACCTTGCCAGCTACAAAGACATCCATCTTATCCATCGCACCATCACTCTTTGACCCACTTTGCCTTGTGTCACCGATAATCATCGTGGCAATAATGATTCTTCAGGAACTGTGGATACTCATCCTTAATTGGGTCGAATCGGTTCCGCAATCCCTACATGATGCATGGACCGACTACTTAAAATCCTTGAACATGTTGCCAAATCTCCATGTACCTCGGTGTTGCCTGCAAAATTCCAATAGCAACATTCATCTGCATGGATTTTGCGATGCGTCTATAGGAAGGACCAAGTAACATCACCGTTCGGTTATGGACATCAAAGTCTAGAGTAGCCCCTGTCAAGAAACAATCGCTTCCGAAACTAGAACTGTGCGCCACACACTTACTCGCTTAACTACTTAACGAGGTCAAAGGATTGTTCGGCGAAAGACTTATACCGTCTTACCTCTGGTCAGACTCACAAATAGTACTCCATTGTCTCTAGCAGCACTCCGTTACGCTCTCAACCTTCGTAGGAAATCGCGTGTCAGAAATCCAGAGTTTAACATCTGCCGCCAAATGGAGATTCGTTCCCACTCAAAGCAACCCAGCCGATATTGTCTCTCGTGGTTGCACTGTCACCGAACTGGACGCATCAATATGGTTCACCGGTCCTCCGTTTTTGTATTAAGCCATCGATTTGGATATCGTTAACAGCGAGAAACGGAAACACATATTTTCAACCACAACTACCAACAACTATCTGCTGGCGTCATACACGTCGTTCGGAAATCATCTTAGATCAGGGTCCAACCCTAAGTCCGGAAGAATTAAAGCGCGCAGCAAACTGCATAACCTGGAATCTTCAAAACCACTCAATTCCGGAAGAACTTCGATAACTTAGGAAAAACCAAGTACTGAAGGGCCCTCTAAAGTTTCTTTCTCTTTTCGTAGACACCGCTACTGGATTCGAACTCATAAAGTTTGGAGGACGACTCGACTATTCCGATCTTCCTGAGAGTGAGACGCACCCACTACTACTTCCCAACAAATCATCAATGGAATCATCATCATCACACTCAAAACTTCCATGCCGGACCAAAGGCGTGGGTGGCTCTACTTCGTATGAAATTCTGGATCATCAATGCAAGGGACTTAGCGCCCAGTATTGTTCGAGCCTGTACCCACTGCATTCGATATCGACCCGTACTACTGCAGCAAGTAATGGGTCAATTACCCAAGGCAAGATTGGCAATCGGTAAGCCCTTCAGCAAATGCGGTGTTGATTTCTGCGGACCTATACACACATGTCTTCGAATACGCGGAAAGCCTCCATTAAAGAGCTATCTCGCCGTGTTCATATGTCTCGTCGTCAAGGCCGTGCATATCAGCTGCACGACCTAAGGAAGTTCCTGCTTATGGGTCCCACTGTGCAAACGGATCTTTATCTGACTGTTTCATTATGCCACGACTGCTGACGTGACAAAAATGTACAAGTCCTCTTCGATCAAAGCTTTCGAAAATATCAATACATATTTTGGCGAGATTCGTCAGATGCAGAACTGTTCACCGTTGCTTCAAAACAACCAACCTTGCCAGCTACAAAGACATCCATCTTATCCATCGCACCATCACTCTTTGACCCACTTTGCCTTGTGTCACCGATAATCATCGTGGCAATAATGATTCTTCAGGAACTGTGGATACTCATCCTTAATTGGGTCGAATCGGTTCCGCAATCCCTACATGATGCATGGACCGACTACTTAAAATCCTTGAACATGTTGCCAAATCTCCATGTACCTCGGTGTTGCCTGCAAAATTCCAATAGCAACATTCATCTGCATGGATTTTGCGATGCGTCTATAGGAAGGACCAAGTAACATCACCGTTCGGTTATGGACATCAAAGTCTAGAGTAGCCCCTGTCAAGAAACAATCGCTTCCGAAACTAGAACTGTGCGCCACACACTTACTCGCTTAACTACTTAACGAGGTCAAAGGATTGTTCGGCGAAAGACTTATACCGTCTTACCTCTGGTCAGACTCACAAATAGTACTCCATTGTCTCTAGCAGCACTCCGTTACGCTCTCAACCTTCGTAGGAAATCGCGTGTCAGAAATCCAGAGTTTAACATCTGCCGCCAAATGGAGATTCGTTCCCACTCAAAGCAACCCAGCCGATATTGTCTCTCGTGGTTGCACTGTCACCGAACTGGACGCATCAATATGGTTCACCGGTCCTCCGTTTTTGTATTAAGCCATCGATTTGGATATCGTTAACAGCGAGAAACGGAAACACATATTTTCAACCACAACTACCAACAACTATCTGCTGGCGTCATACACGTCGTTCGGAAATCATCTTAGATCAGGGTCCAACCCTAAGTCCGGAAGAATTAAAGCGCGCAGCAAACTGCATAACCTGGAATCTTCAAAACCACTCAATTCCGGAAGAACTTCGATAACTTAGGAAAAACCAAGTACTGAAGGGCCCTCTAAAGTTTCTTTCTCTTTTCGTAGACACCGCTACTGGATTCGAACTCATAAAGTTTGGAGGACGACTCGACTATTCCGATCTTCCTGAGAGTGAGACGCACCCACTACTACTTCCCAACAAATCATCAATGGAATCATCATCATCACACTCAAAACTTCCATGCCGGACCAAAGGCGTGGGTGGCTCTACTTCGTATGAAATTCTGGATCATCAATGCAAGGGGCTTAGCGCCCAGTATTGTTCGAGCCTGTACCCACTGCATTCGATATCGACCCGTACTACTGCAGCAAGTAATGGGTCAATTACCCAAGGCAAGATTGGCAATCGGTAAGCCCTTCAGCAAATGCGGTGTTGATTTCTGCGGACCTATACACACATATCTTCGAATACGCGGAAAGCCTCCATTAAAAAGCTATCTCGCCGTGTTCGTATGTCTCGTTGTCAAGGCCGTGCATATCAGCTGCACGACCTAAGGAAGTTCCTGTTCAATGGGAAGACTCAAACTGCAATTCAACAATTTTGTGCGGCTGACTTCATCAGATTTTACTTCATCCCACCCAGGGCTCCGCATTTTGGTGGGCTGTGGAAAGCGGCAGTGAAGAGCGTACTCAACAGAACCTTTGTATCATCACCATCCTCAACTCACGCCCCTCACACCGATGTCATCAGATCCGAACGATCTCTCAGCTCTCACAGCAGATAACATTTTGACGGGAAGTTCACTGCGTTCCATGCCAGAGCGTATCGTCAACGACTCTAAAGCCAGCACATTGCAACGATTTGAAGCAGACATGGCATTAAAGCAGTCCTTTTGCCACCGCTAGTCTACAGACTATTTCAACGCACTCCGATCAAGAACTAAATGGACTTCCCCATCGTCAAACGTCGGTGTCGGTACCATGGTGCTTATTCACGAAGACAATGTACCCCCTCAGCACTGGAGAATGGGTAGGACCAAATCCCTAGTGTACGGGCGCGACAACAGAGTCCGAGTCGTTCAGCTGCGCACCTCCAAAAGAACCTGTTGCCGCCCTGTTCACAAGCTCGCTGTAGTTCCTATGTCTTGAAAGTGGACCCTTTGGATGTTGGATCAGATTATTAACAAAATACTGTGTAACCCTAATGTCAACACATGTACAGCTGTAAGCCCTCTAATAACTTCCGCTCTGCTCGGCTTAACGAGCGTCCGAAAATAAAACCAGTAGCATATCAACTTTGAAAGAGAAAAGTCGTCTTGGACTTGAGTTTTCGGTTGCTCGATTAATTTATACCTAAAATGAGTTATAATTATAGAAAACGCTCTTAAAGTCACCGTTCAAAAGATCATTTTAAATTAAAAAGCTTACAACTGCATATTTCTCAATGCGATCTGGTGGCTTGGATGACGCTGACAAGCCACTATAATCATGGCTTGTGGACAGCAATTAACTTTAATTCTACCCAGATTTAAACATGACATCCAATAGATATAAAGTAAATTATTTAATAAATTAATAAGATTTAATAACTTACCTATAAGCTTCTGCCAGCACAGGGTTTTGTTTTATTGCCAATGTAGAGAATTGTGCTGACTTATCAAGTCTTCTGCATTGAAAATGAATGGATGACAGCAATAATAAAACTCCTGTGTTCGTACTGTCCTGGCGCCATAATTGCATGCAATGTTTTTCTGCACTTTCATAGTCAACAGCTTGGTATTCCCTATGAGCCAACTCAAGTAAACCTATATGGTAGTATAAAATCGTTTCTTAGGTTAGAGGAATTTGAAACCATCAATAAATATATATTGCCTTCACAAAAGTTTATATCTATGTTTCTATTTTAAAACAAGGAAGAACGCTATAGTTCAGTTCAGATACCCGTTACTCAGCTAAAGGGACCAAAGGGAAATGGAGATATGCAAGCAGCAAGGCGAAAAGGAAATGATCTCAATATATGATTATGTGGACGGTAGACAGATTTAAGCGTTATGGGCGTTAGAGTGGGCGTGGCAAACATTTTTTTTTGGATCAATCGATAGGTATGGACGACTTTTTGTTAAGTTGAATACTAGGCCTAAGCACAGACCGATTTGTTTAAGAGACTTTTTTCGCAAACTGTGCATATATAACAGTAATTTTTAAAAACAATCTACTGTTATCTGCGAGCTCTGGTTGTGTGTCGTTGATGGATGTTTAAATTTCTGCACTAAAAGTGTTGAATTGTTGCCCATTCTGTTTTATACTTAATTTGATTTCAATTAATTTTTTCACTTATGAAAATAAATTAAACTTCTGCGAGCTTATGTTTAAGAACTTACAGTTATAATTAATAGTAGATTTTAGTTACACCATTTTATTGATGTTTGCTAGCTTCAGTAATATTTAAGGGGCTATATGAGGTTTTAAAAAAATACTAGAGAACGCCAAAATCGATTATTAGACACCCGTTACTTAGCTTAGGGAGATATGCGATCGCAACATCGCACACACCGCAACAGCGACAACTAGCGTCGATTCCCTTTTTTGCATATAACTTGTCTATGGGTGGATTTGAACAATTTTCGGCGTGAAGATAATTGATTGATAATCGAAACAAAATGGCATTTACACTTATACAAAATCTTAAAAAATGTGGGCGGTTGACAGGTTGTACTGTTAAGGGCGTTTGCCGGCGTTAGTGTTGGCATGGCACCCTGCTGAAATAAACTGCTCTGTATGATCCTGATCAAGAATACTTTATAGGGTCGGAAACGCTTCCTTCTACCTGTTTACTTTCCGACGAATATAGCCTTTTACACTACGGGTAACAAGTATAATAAAGATTGACACACATAAACTTTTTTTTTAATCGAAATTTGTTTTTCAGTTTTTGTTACAGCCGACCCCTTAATGAAAGCTTCTAACAGCACTGCTTTATACTCCGATGCTTTTATTAGTTAAATCAAATTAAAAAATCAAGATAAAATCAAGAGCTTTAAAAAATCATCCTCTCCTATTGAGGATCGCACTGTAACTGTATGGTCTTTCGATATTTGGCGAGATTTTGATTGGTGTCGGATCCAACCGATTTATGTAAATTAAACATTCCCCCCCACGTAAACAGCTATGGGGTGTTTACATTTACTTAGAAGCAACGTCCAGTACGGCTATTTTGGTTGCTGGCCGTACCATAATATCATGTTGAGTCTTAATAGTATCAGATCAAACTTGACCATCTTTGGCTGTGACGACCTCTGTAATTCGTCCTTTGGGCAAAAGGTTCCTGGGTAGATTTTCGTCCACTACGATTACGACGTCGCCAACTGCCAGAGGATGTCGTTGGGGAAACCATTTGGATCGCTTGGTGATTATTGGCATGTATTCCTTCACCCACCTCCTCCAGAAAAGATCGGCTAGTTCGTTTGCCTGGCGCAAACGTTGTCTTGGGCTGGACTCGCTTGTCAGTGGAGGCTTGAAGCCGTCTGCGGATCCTAGCAATAAATGGTTGGGAGTAAGTGCGTCATCGTCTTCTGCCTCCAAGGAAACGAAGGTCAGTGGACGGGAGTTTATTACGTATTCTGCACTTATAAGAGCATTTTTGAAACTTTCGTCGTTGTAATTGGCGTTCGGGGAAATGGATTTGAGTACCATTTTAATCGATCGAATTAAACGTTCCCATGCCCCGCCCATGTGTGGTGCGGCAGGTGGATTGAAGCGCCATTAAATTTTGTCATATTTTATAACTCAACATTTTTTAGCTCCTCTTTGACAATCTTTTCGGTTGCTTTGAAATTTTTTCCATTGTCAGAAATTTTTTCCTTGGGCGTCCCGCGTCGCGACATGAAGTTTGCCAGGCACATTATGCAAAAGCTAGTGTCAAGGCTGTGGGCTATCTCTATATGAACTGCGCGCAGAGCGCGGCCTACGTTAACGAGAATTGGACCGAAGAGATCGCCACAAGCTGGCGACTCTAGCCTAGGCTATCTATGTAGTCGTCGACGTAGTGTGCCTTGGTAATGGCTTCGAACGCACGCGGGCTTTGCAGCTTGGGTTGCTTAGATGTGCATCTAGTTGACAGGCCTCCATGGTACCACAGATGTTGCGAACAGCAAGGGCGTAGTCGATAGGTGAATCCAGCCTGTTCTTGCTTACTAAAATTCGTTTAGCTTTCTCAATTAGGCGATCCAGAATTTGATCTGGACAACCAAAGAATGTTTTCAATGTGCTTATAACCTTGGGAACCATGGTTGGCAACCAAAGCTTGTCTCGGACTAGATCGTATACTTTCCCTTAAAGACTTTTGAAGTCGAAGCATATTTTCGACATTTGAAAAGCCGGCAGCAGAAGTGCTGCTTTCAAAGGCGCTTATAAAGGTGGGCCACTCGTCTGGGTTTCCGTTTAATGTAGGTAAATCATATGGTAGTATTTGTCGAGCTGAACGCTGCTGGGCCCATTGTCGTGGGTGTCCATGTCATGTTGAGATCATGTTGGCGCGAAAAAATATTATATTTTTGTTCAACATATATCTGCTCAGCTTCTCGCAAGGAGGGCAGGCCCAGCCTTTAAGGTTATTTGCGCTTTCTTCGCGCACACAAGAGAAATGGTACCAGGTCTTGCAATTATCACATTGAACCCATATTATGTCTTTCCCGGGTCGATCTTTTTTGAAAGCACCGCCTACCGAGGTATCATCTCCCCGTGGGAGCATTTTTAATTGTTCGCGAAATTGATTTTGGTTGTGAGCTTCTCTGCCTGTTGGGGGAAAATTTATTTGCTTTCGCAAGCTATGCCCCTACTCACGGCCTTAGCTGGCAGAAAGGCAAACCGTGGAATCAGAATATAGTTTTGTTCTTTTTGGTTTTTTTTTACCACGAAACACTAACACCAATACGCGGAATGTCTTCGCAAAACTCTATTTATCAGTTTCTGTCTTCGGTTGGTGTGTATACACTGATTATAAATGTCGCAGTTAATTTAAAGTTCGTGTCACGATTATTGTTAATGTACGGGACTGCGGAACTTTATTCTTCTTAAGACGCAGTCGAGCACCAATTAATAGTTAACCCTCTGTTGGAACTAGTTTAGGTTTAATATTGTTACTACAGAACTTTATTGTTCAGACGCAGCAACTTGTGGTGTTTTGTTTCTTTGTACTCTCGTATATTAAGATTTTTAAAAGAATGTTACAGCCGACCCCTTAATGAAAGCTTCTAACAGCACTGCTTTATACTCCGATGTTTTTATTAGTTAAATCAAATTAAAAAATCAAGATAAAATCAAGAGCTTTAAAAAATCTTCCTCTCCTATTGAGGATCGCACTGTAACTGTATGGTCTTTCGATTGTCGGTGAGATGTTGATTGGTGTCGGATCCAAGCGATGAATTTATGTAAATTAATCGACGTTTCAAAATATACTGGGGCGGTAACAGCTTTTGAAAATTAAAAATAACCATCTTAAAAAAATGTTCTTTGAAAGAAGAGGTTTTATAGAAATAAATTCAAATAAAACGAAGTCAATCGGATTACTATACCTGGAGATATAGATGTTAAACCAGAAAGTATCTATTGAAATTTGGCGTTGCTTAACAAATTTAAAAAAAATGCTAACTAAAAACTTATTTTAATGTTGGCCAAATCCTATTCTGTGTTTATTTATATACTGCAGTTTTTATCGATAAACAAACAATAAGTTTTACTTGTGTGTGTTTTGTGAAAATCAATTCACTTTTACCCATGGTAAAATTAACAGTGTAATTAAAAAAAACACATCACAAAAATTTTGCAGATTGGCGGAGCATACGGATAAGTCTGGAATGAGAGTACCAATTGCGGGCCGTCCAATTATCCAATTGTCTGATAGGTGCAACCTTTTTGCCTTCTTGTGTTCGTATGTGTGGAAAGTGTGGGAGCAAATCTGTTTGTGTATTGATTTGTAGCGAGTGGCAGTCTTAGTGATAGATGTACAAATAGGATTAGGTTTGAGATCTCGAAAAATATTAGTGTTTCATGTATAGTATAGGGCGTTTATCATGTCTTAAAATTTTGGCTTGTCAGGACTCAATTCTTTTTATAGATGTTTTACAAACAGTGCTTTAGAAGTGTACACCACAATGTAGACTAGGCATTGAAATAGCTTTAAAGAGCCGAGTCTTCGCCGCGATCGACAATCCACTGCCCGGGAGAAGGAGCCATCTCATTTTTCTCGCCGTTTGCCTTGTGGAAGCACAGGTAGTAACAACGTGCTGCTTCCAGATAAGCCGCCTGTCTAGAGTAAGCCCAAGGTTCTTAACCGTGTCAGAGTGCTTTATTGGAGTCCTGTCCAGGGTGAGGCGATAAGTTTTCAGCCTGTTCAACGACTAACAGCGATATTTCACCTCGACGCTATGGCCTCAAACTCATTTAATATGTCTTGCACCATGTCTGTAGCCTCTCCTTGCAAAGCACTTGTCACCAGAAATGCAGTGTCATCTGCATAAGTAGCTGTTAGAACACGGCTGCTTCTGGGCAAAGGAAGGTCCGAGGTGAATATGGTATATAAGACAGACTTAGATCCTCGACATCCACCTGGAAGGTTCTGCCAATAAGAGATGAGCGGAGGAGATCAAAGTATGTCGGGGGAAGAATGGGTTTAAGCTTAAAGAGTAAGTTGCAGTGCCAGACTTCTGAAACCATACTGAGGATTCGGAATTGCCTCCGGGAATAGATGAACACTAAAAAGCCATTTTAGTAAGATTAGCTTTTCGGCCAAAGAGCTAGTGGGATG